TTTGCTCTACTTCACATCTCTGCTATTTCATTCTTTATTTTAGCAGTGTTTTCACACATTTGATAAATTTTATTAAAGGTTTTAACTAAAAACTATTTATGAAATACAGTCAACATAAAAATAATATAAAAAGGTTTGTTAGCACAGGTTACATTTAGACTTGTCAGTAGGGGTAAATTGACAAATATGAAGAGGTTAATATTGCTTTGCAGTATCCTGATATTCTGGCACTGCCTAGAGGACACTAGGATACAATACCTTGGCAAAGTAGATTACTGATACTTTACTATGACATCACACTGGGGGGGTTCTACATGTTCACACGTTAGATACATAGCCAAAATTTTTAGGATCATCTGAAAACTCAATATTTTTTATTTATTTTTATTTTTTCAAGATATTTTCAGGGGCCTGTGGTCACCACTCTCAGTGCTTGGGTGCTTGCTGCCATGGGCCCACACAGCTTGCTGCGGAGCTCTTGATGTGTGCGCTCGTCATGATGGCGAGCAGTTTGTCTGACTCTTTGGCATGTGTCTGTCAAAGTCTTTGGCACTCTTGTCCAGCTACAAAAACACATCTGACTCATGTCTTGCCTGTTTTCCTGAGATCTCAATTACGCTGTCTTTGGAACCAACTCTTATTCAGTGACCTGTGAAATGAATCTTATAATTTATTTTAAAGCAAATGTCAAACTGAACTAATTTATTAAAATGTAGGCTTTAAACAAATGTACACATTTGCTATATTTAAAGGTGCATTGTGCAACATTTGCCTGAAATGTTCCATGGTATAAGTTATCATCTAGTATGTGTTCATTATGGATGTTTCTATTGCTCAAATGCATGACCTCTTTCTGTAAATGGGAGATTCTCCACAGATCTGAACTGTATTGTAGTGTAGTGCTGTAACCTGCTTGTCTCCCTTGTGATACTGTAGATAGGTTTAGTCTATACTGTGGAACATTCTAGATAAAGCAATAACATTTCCATAGAGACAAACAGGTGACAGACCCTCCACTTGAAAGTTTATGCAGTGCACCTTTAAATCATGCTTCCCTTCATCAACAACAGACCTGTATGGCTTTTATATTAGCTGGCCCTGGGCCAACTCCCAGGAGGTATTGTTGCTTGTCTTTTATTTTACTACCGTACACATTATGTTCATTTAATTATGGATCTAGCCAGTGCTACTAGATCGAGCTAAGCTAAAAGCCCTTGGAATACCACACAGTTAAAGTGCCGTCTGTTTATTTTGACACAAACAGACAATGAGTTTCTCTGATTGGTTAATTTGCTTGCCAGTCACACTCATTGGAACTCAGAGACAGGATACAGCTCCAGACTATGCATCTTTTTATAGCAGAGTGAAAGTACGTAGTCTTGGGTGGCAAGGCAAGTTGAGGAGGTGAGGGAGAGTCTAAGGTGGCTGGTAGTTCTGCTGCTGTGGTACAATGAGGGTTGAGACAATTTGTTAAAATGTCATAGAAGGTCAAATAGAGTTGGTTTAGAAGTGAATGGCACAATGTGATTGACAGCAGCAGACAATACTCCAGATCAGTAAATAGTTTTCCTGCTGAATTTAAATTACAGATTACTTTTGTTTATATTTTTCAGAATCAGAATGACTGTTATTCATCCCCAAGGAGAAATTATTTTCATTACAGACATGCAGCTGACAGAGTTATCAAATAAAGTTAAGAAAGTTTAAATAAAATAAGTCATTTCAGTATCTTAAATAAAAAAGTACAATAAGTATAATAAGTCTTATTAACAAAAATAAGCTTACATTTGATCTTGATGTAACACCTACTGGATCTACAGGTCACTTTAATAACAAAGCAAGCCAGTCAGTGTGTGGCTCTAACAGCCATTATGCAACTTTTATTACAGGTAAAACAAAACGTTAAGGTTGACTGGTATGAGAGAGGTGGAGATGCCACTGCAGGGGTGAGACTGGCGTAAAGGAGACATGGTACAAGTGAAAAACAAACAAGATTAATGGAAAAAATAAAATAAAATTACCACAACTGAAAACACTCAACTGGATTGATGTGGAAACATGGGTTTCTCCCATCTTCAGGAAGAATAGCTGATAGGCCAATTAAATTCAATAAAATGCAATCAATATGGAGATACTGTCCCACTTTAATTGCATGCTTTTAACTGTATGTTTTAATAGTATTTAACTTGTTTCTGTTGTTGTAAAGCAATCTTGAGTGTCCAGACAGGAGCCTAATAAATACAATTATAATCATTAATCATATTAATAATTACGAGTGGCACCACCATCAATAAGTATAAATAAGGTCACCCTTTAAAGTGAGCCCCCTCCACACCCAACTATCTCCCCACCCACTGCAGAGCTACAGTGTATAGGTAATAGTATAATTTGAAGTAAAAACTCATAAAAAACAGCAACCAGCACTGAGCCCGTAAACACAGTGCAGTTAATATAAAAATTACATAAATCACAATTAAACAACAGGATAAAGGTTAAAAGCATTCATCCACAGTCTGGACTGTTAGGACTCTTTAAAATGATATTTACAAAGTACAAATTAGTCTTTCAACAGCAATATTAAAATATAAGAAGTGGGAGAAGAGGAAGTGAGCTGGTGCACCTCTGACCTTTAAATGATCAGCTAAGCTTGCCACATTAAATTATAGAAATATAGCACCCCTTTACATCTTTACATACAGTTTAGAATATGAGATATGAATATAGGAATATTGCAAAAGAATTGTACACTGAGACTTCTACAGCACAGAGTTCAGCAGTTTGGTGGTGGCAGGAATCATTTCCTGTGTCTCTCAGTAAAGCAACGTGGCCATAGCACACTATAGCTGAACAAGCTCTTGTAGCTGACCAGCACATTGTGAAGTGGATGGGAGAGTCCAGAATAGTTCTGAGTTCGGACATCTTCTTGTCTGACACTAGAGTCCAGCTCTTCCCCCAAACATGGCCACCAGCATCATGATCTTATTGAGTCTATTCAACAGATTGCTGCCCCAGCAGACCACAGTGTACATGATGGCACTTGTCACCATAGACTTATAAAACATCTGCGAATGTCAAAGTACCCCAGCCTCCTCAGAAAGTAGAGACAGTCCGGTAACAGTTTGATCAATATTCTAATTTATCTCAAATCGAGACATGCCCATTTTGAGGGAGTGATGTGGCCATTTGAGGCTGTGATGAACGAGTCTTTTACAGCCTTCTTCAGGGAGCAGTAAACATCTAATGATTCACATAGTTTAATTGTTGAGGAAATAGCTGTGGATGTGGTCCAAGGACTGTTTTTTATATTCAGAGTAATGGCTGAAGCGGCGGGCAAACATCTGGTGAGGTACAGAAAGTGTTTACCTACATCTGTGCAGTCTGACAGGGAGCACCCTTCTGCTTTTAATGTTAAAGTGCTGCTATTAAAAAGCTCTTGAGATCCAGATTACACTGCTCCCTTTGTGTAACAGCCCATTGACTCCACAGAACAAATATAGTACCTCTAAAGGATCATCCCTATTAAATTTGTGATTAATCATCAGTGTTACATCATTTAAAAACAAAATGAACACAGGCTTAACATAAGAATGGTTCCATCAAATATTGGTATAAGAGTAGCAGTATAATCACACAAGTATTAGAGAACATTTAAGTAGTTACGGCTGCAACCACCTCTATTACCAACACTCAATTATACTAAGAACCAAAAGTACTTACGATCCACTCACCACATATGGTAAAAGGACTCTTTAGAAAATTCACTTCATCCTACAAAAATACGTTATGTTTACCTTTGCAGATGGCTCAACATTTGTAGTCACTCTCCCATAGTCTCTAAGTGATTTCTCAGTATAAATTGAAGGAGAGCTTCTCAAGGCTCTTCATTAGAATGTCATTAATGATTGAAGTGTTTGTTACCTGTCGGGAGTCAGAGGGCACCTTTGCCACACAAACACACAGGCTGAGGCAGGCTCCACTCACAGAAACAGAGACATATTTGAACACATGAATGCCACAACTTTTAGAGCTTTGAAGTGAATATGAAGGGAAATCAATGCAAAGCATTGATCAAAAGCCTGAGCCAGTTTGGTGGAAGCAGCTGTAAATATCTATTGTTCCCAAAGGAGCATTTCTTCTGTTCTTGTACCCTCTGACTTGAGTTGAAGCTGGAGCAGAGGAAATGGGCTTTTCTACCAGTCTGGGCAGATCTGACTTTTGTTTTCCTCTGGCACCACCCAGTGGTACATTTATCCAAATTAAATAACTTGGCATTTAAAATTAAAAAAAATAATAAATACATATAAAAAAAAAATAAAAAAGAAGCCTATGTCAATTCTTAAAAATGATAATACTAAACGATAATTGAACTTTTTTTTCCAGCTCTCTCCAAACCATGACTGAACTCTGTGTATGATCCTGCATGAGGAGGAGCACTAATGTTTTTTAATATTTATTGATAAAAAAAAATTTTTATACATATATATCATCCAAAATGTAAACTAAAGTAAATGCTTAGAGTGAACACTCTACAGTGCTCATGTTGCAAACAGTGCTGTCTTACACTATATATCTGACTATGATTTTATGTATTTGCTGCTGGGTTGGTTTGTTTTTGTTTGTTTTGTTTGGTTTTTTTTTTTGCTTGCTATCTTGTGCATATTCTTAAAACTTAATCCAGAGAGTAAATTTAACTGTACCAGATAATGATCATACACTGATACTTATCCCGTGTTTTGTTTGTCTCTGCCTCATGTCTTAGTCCCTTGTGTATTTCTCAGGTTAAACAGCTGTCACAATGCTGCCATCTATTGCCTGGGAAAGAAATGTATATTGTCTTATACTGTACACATATTTTCATGTTTTATTTTCTTATAAAATTATTAAATCACAAAAATGAATAAAAAAAAAAAACAACAACACATATTTCAATTGTGTATAAATAATGTTAAAGTAATGAGTGTCTATCTTACCCAATATCTAACAATCGCTTAGAGTAGATTTCACAGTACTTTGGCTTCACATGAGTCAGTCTTGAATATCTTAAAGGTCAAAATCATTTTTACACTTTTCCTGAACCAGGGATAGCAGAATACATAGATAATGGGATTAATACATGAGTTAAAATATATGAGCCAAAGTTCAGCCTCTCCTGATGATGCTCCAAACAGGTTACTATCTGCAGCCACTGTGAAACAATAATATGGACAAGAACATAAGAGGAAGATGATAACCAGAAGCCCCAAGGTTTTTGCTGCTTTCGTTTCTTTTTTCTGAACTGTCACTGCCACTGGCCCCACTGTGATAGATGAGATTTGAGATCGCATTGCACGAGCTTGGGAAACAGCTACTACAAATACTCTTAAGTACAAATATGTAATGACAATTATCGGCGCCAAAAATGTCACAACCAGATCCACAACTCCCTCTGCGTAGTTTACAATGAGCACACACTCTCCAATGCAAGAATTATATATGTCAGGTTGTCCAAGTAAGTCTCGTAATATCCAGACAGCATGAATGGTTGAAAATATCCAACATAGAAAAATACACAGTTGGACACGCTGTACGGTGACTTTGCTGGTGTATAACATGGGGTCGCATATGGCTATATACCGATCCACGGAAATAAGGACCATATTTCCAACTGAAGCGCTAACTACAAGAAAGCTAGAGAAGTTATTGAGAGCGCATGCAAAGTCACCCAAGTACCAGCAGCCGTGGTAATAAAAGATCTGGAAGGGCATCTGGAGGAAACCAACAAGGAAGTCTGACACAGCCAGAGAGAGGAGGAGGAGGTTAGTGCAGGTGTGGAGCTGCCTGGAACAATACAACAACAATAGAATTATATTATTCTATTTGTTCTATTAAATTATTTATATGATGCATAGTCAAAGATGATAGACATTTCTGACTCATGTGAAACAAGAAAATACACTGGCCACTAGAGTGTCATTGATGGAGCAGCTAGTTTGACATAAATCATAGTCTAGTTCAAGCAAGAAACCAACTATACACCTAAATAAATACACAAACTCACCTAATTTGTATGTACAGTAAATCCTTATTTTGTACTGCATTATTTATATGCACTATATTTATATTTAAAGTAAATGTGTTGCAATAAAAAATACAGATTTGTTACAGTTTGTCCAAATGTAATGTGTGATAAGTGATCAGAGAGTGCCCGTGCCTGAAGTGGGCAATGGAGACGATGACGAGCAAGTTCAGAAACACAGTGATCACAGTGATGGAGGAGAGCAGAGTGTAGATGACCGTGGCCTCTGATTGGTTGCGTGGGATCTTCCTGCAGGAGTTGTTGGACAAGGGGAAGCACAGATCTGCTTCATCTGGTTTGTCCATGATGTTTCAGGAAGAGCAGCTCCTCCTCATCGCTCTCATCAGTTTGATTTTATCCAGCTCTCTCCGCCCCAAACACATGCGTCATTACATCATGTTCATCAGACCAATTTATCTTTGTGGAAAACTACCATCTGGCTCAATATGTATGGAGCTGCTTTGCCAAGCCAGTCTCAAATTCTGCAACAGAATTTCATCTCTGACTGGGTAGTCAATGGGCTTTTTAGGCAAATACCATATTTACAACCAAGGTTACATATTTTTCCTATACTTTATAAAGACATACACACATGTCTGGTATGGATTTCTGCAGAATCTATAAACAAAGCAATAAACTCTGTAGATCTATGGTATTAAAGAAATGTCTCTCTCATCTGAGAAACAATACAAATAATCAAAACATATAAAAAATATTAAATTGGATGGTTATTTCATTTGTTAAGGGTTTGGATAGAGACATATCTGCATTCAAACAGGAAATAGGAGGGATTGTCTTGTCAGGCTATTTCAAGGGATTCTCTCACTGAATTAGTAATTGTATTAGTAAAAAGAACATAAGTTCCTTTAACTTAAATAGAAAAAGCAGACACTTCACATAAACCGAAATATACCATAAGGATTTGAAACTACAAATAAAAGTTTTATAAGCCCCTGTTCACTTATGAAAAATACAGAATAGTTTTGTTCTTTATATATTTTTTTATGATAATAAGCTTATGGGGGATTTTAAAGCCAAGTTAGACCATCTATAAGGCACACCAATCAGTAGTTCATCATTTGTTTGATGGTTTTTACCACACTTTTTTGCCCAATTTAATTTGCAATTTGCTTCTCAGGGAAGCGTGACCCAACATTGTCTCTTCTCTTCATTGTCCTCCACAAATAATGACATCCAGTCCACAAAACTATGCTATTAATATCCAGTTTGAGTCATTCTTTGAAAGTAAAAAGGCCAGAGTAGTTCTTTACATGTGTCTGTTTACATCCACACAGCTCACGGTTCGAGGTGAAGCTACAGATTAGTGATAGTCATTCTACTTTGTGTGTACCTTATCGACAATCGTTTATGCTTTAAAATCATCATGTATCTGAAGTATTGCACCACATTTCACAAATAATAACAGTTTTGACTTGTATCTAAACTAGAAGTGCAGTGCTCTGATCTTTAGAACACTTGCGAGTCTCAAAGCAATCGTTTTACTGTAGACAGGAAACTCACAACTTTAAGGCCTGTGGTCCGCAGCCATATCCTGCTGCTGTCTTTGCAATCGGAGATTTTAAGTCTCACAAGATTCTCCTTGTGTCTGTGGTGTGCGCTTTTTGATGCACAATTAAAAATCTTTTAAGATGGAAAAATCTAGTGTGCGGTGACCTTTAAACATAAACAAACCAAAAGTGAAGAGTGGATAAGTCTACATGGACCCTTGAGTAGTTTAATTAAGAAATAATTCATTTTAAAAAGGCTGAATAATGTAGTAGAAGAACAGGTCCCCAAAGGTTTGTTGGGAAAAAATGACACTGTAAAAATACACTTCACTTTTATTCTCTTTCATATAATAACCCTAAAAAGGCCATATTCTTGCGGTTTACAAGCTCAGCAAGGCCTCTCAAAGTGCCACACTGTAGTCATTATTCATTCACTCCACTGCTCCTGTAACTTCATCTGCCCTGAGGTAGACTGATGGAAGCAAGGCTGCCAATCTGCACCACTGGCCTGTCATGCACATGCCACTTTCACGCTAGGCAAGGTAGGTGAAGTGTCTTGCCTAAGGACACAACAAACACAAAAATAATGCATTTTTACAATATGTTCATTTCACTGGAGCCTGGCTTCAAAATCTGAAGTGTAACAATGTTTTTGATAGCCCTCCAGAACCACGGGTAACAAAATGCATAGATGATTGGATTTATACAGGAATTAAAATATATGAGCCACAGCTCTAGAGCCCCTGAGGAGTTTGTGAGGCCATAGTCAAATAACAGAGTAAAAACGTAATACGGACAAGAGCAAATGATGAACATAACTATGACCACACCCAGGGTCCGTGCTGCTTTGAGCTCAGATTTCTTGGCCCCTGAATGCTTCACTGACACAGATGTAACTTGAGAGCGCAAAACTCGAGCCTGAGTCACTGCCACCACAAAGACTCTCATATACAACACTGTTATTACACTGATAGGTGCTATAAAAGTCACAACTAGGTCAAACGCTGCTTCAATCTCATTCACAAGAATTACACATTCTCCATAACAGGAATTATACATGTCAGGATGCTGGAGGAACTCTCGAGACATCCAGATGGCATGTATTGCTGAAAATAACCAACAAGAAATCACACAAACCTCCACACGTCTATAGGTGACTTTTGTGTGGTAAAACATAGGGTCACATATGGCAACATAGCGGTCTATAGATATCATTACCATGTTTCCCACTGAGACGCTGATCACTAGGAAGCTAACAAAGCCATACATGCTGCATACAAAATCTCCTAAAAAGAAGCAACCATAATAAAGGAGGATTTCCATCGGCATCTCCAGGACACCCACGAGCAGGTCAGAGACGGCCAGAGAGAGGAGGAGGAGATTGGTGCAGGTGTGGAGCTGCCTGCAAGAGACAAATTTAAATCATAATTATATAATCAGAAAAACATGTTATTTGCCAAGATGTCTATAGTTTTCTAACGGGAATATTTAGTTAAAGGGAGCACATATAGGGTTTTTGAGTGAAAGATGCAAGTAAAAAATTGCATTATTGTTGAAAACATAAAAGTTTTACTTCTTTTTTTTTTTTTTTATGTGTATGCTACTCAAATGACAAATGACAAATTTACATCCTTTAAGATGAGATTAATATTGATTTTCATTTGAAAGTGTATATATATATATATATATATATATATATATATATATATATATATATATATATATATACATATATATAAAACATTTGTTATAATTTTGATTATCATGCGTTTGGAGTAATTAAGCAGAAATCATATAAATCTTAGAATACAATGAATATAGCATTTACATATACATTTACTAACATGAATATTACAATCAAAACATACTTTTAAACAATATTCTAAATTAATACATGCAAGATACATCAGCCAAATACTCATACACCTGCAAACACATAGCTAGAATACACTGAACTTTGTTGTATCATGACCATTATGACTGAAAGTGTGTGTGCAGTGACTGGTCTCTGCCTGTAGTGGGAGATAGAGATGATGACCAGCAGGTTGAGGAGCACAGTGACCAGGGTGATGGTGGTTAACACTGTGAAGACTAAGGCTGCATCTGGGTTGGAGTGCACGATCTTCTTGCACGAGTTGTTGATGAGAGGAAAGCACAGCTCGTTTTCTAGTGTCTCCATGGTGTGAGAGAGAGACAGAAAGAGGAGAGAGAGCTCAGACCCCTCTGTCACATGGCTTTTATAGAACCAGTATCCATCCACAATGCAAAAACAACAAGGGAACACCACTCAAGGGACTGAATTATACAAAACAAGTCAAATATTCTTTCTGCATATATGAATGATAGTGTAAAAATGCTGCATCTATTCATTATAATTGTTACCTGCATGCCCTTTGCCCAGTGCTGTGTAAACAAATAAATGCATTCATTACTATAAATGCAATCTACATTTTATTAATGTTTATTAACTACACATTATAATGGCATTCCCTTATCATTACTTAATTAGTTTAACCATGTTCATGTACTGTGTTGTCCAGCAGTGAGGTATTTTTTTTTTCCTGTTTTTTTATTCATTTATTTTTTGATAAATGATCAAGTGTCATTCTTAGTGTAATGTTCTGTATTTCAGCATAAGATAAGATCAGATCTACACATAAAATCTACACATAAACTGTACACAGAATCTTGCCTTAGCAAGCAGTGTTTACAGTTCCTCCAGTTCCTAAATGACACAATTTGGACTTGAGTCTTTGTTTTGAGTTAAGCCAAAAAAGCTCCTATAAAAGATTCTATTAGCTATTGTCATAATTTTCTTTTAATTAGCTTATTATTTATAATATAATATGAAATACAATTCAATACAATACAATGTCATATCATATTGGCCAATATATTACAGAAAATTTGTGACAAAGAAAGTATTTGTCTATCTATAGTTCACTGATGTGTATGATAGCACAAAAACTTCAATGATGAATTAACAGGCCAACACCCAAACACAGTTCACAAATGTACCTTGGATTTAATTGTCATTTTCTTTTTGGTAAGATATTACAAGCTCTCTCTCAAGTAGATACACTGGTCAGAATGTATTTATTTCTCAACTCCATGACCTGAAGTAGGACACACTCAAAAACCGATGACTCAATATAACTCTTAGAGAGAGTTTTTATTGTATATATCATTTCCATCTCATTCATTTAACATACAGTAAAAACATTGGTGACTTCATAGTATGTTGCTCTGTCTGGAGTCAGGCTGCAGAATCTGAAGCGTTACAATACGTTTTATACATCTCCTAAACCACGGATAGCTGAAAGTGTAGATTAGAGGGTTCAAGCAAGAATTAAAATAGATGAGCCATAATTCTGCATTTCCAGACGAAGCCCCTATCTGGTTACTCTCCGCGGCGACTGAAAAGGCATAATATGGACACGAGCAGAGAAGAAAGACTATAATAAGCACTCCCAGAGTTTTAGCTGCTTTCATTTCAGATTTCTTTGCCATGGCTCCTGAACGCTGTAGAGCTACGGAGCCTATATGAGATCGCATGGCACGGGCCTGGGACACTGCCACAGCAAAAACTCTCAAATATAACACTGTGATGACTGTAAATGGGACAATAAATGTGGCCACGATGTCCACAGTTCCTTCTGCATTGTTCACTGCAAACACACACTGTCCAATGCAAGAATTATACATATCCGGCTGTTTAAATATGTCTCTTAGAATCCAACTTGCATGGACAGTAGAAAATATCCAACACAGGCTTATGCAGACTTTTACCCGCTTTATGGTTACCTTTGTCGGGTAACATAATGGATCACAAATGGCCACGTAGCGATCTATTGATATAAGCACCATGTTCCCTACAGACGCACTGACAGACAGAAAAGCAGAGAAGTAATAAACAACACAAGTAATGTCACCGAGGAACCAACAGCCTCTGTAATGGAATATCTGGCAGGGCATCAGAATTGAACCAACAAGGAAGTCTGAGACGCCCAAGGAGAGGAGGAGGAGGTTGGTACAGGTGTGGAGCTGCCTGGAAAATAAGAATGTTGCTGTAAATGTCGTTTTACTACACCTGGAGTTTTTGAAAAAGCTTTAAAACTGTCAAAATAAAAAGTATTCATATTTTTGGATTGCAGTTTAGAAATACATATAAAATGTTGATTTATTTGTGCCTGAAGTGGAAGATAGAGATGATGACCAGCAGGTTGAGGACCACTGTGAGTACAGTGACGGTGGACAGGAGGCTGTAGATCAGTGTGGTCTGTGGCTCAGGATGCAGTGTCTTCTTGCAGGAGTTGTTCAGTGTTGGAAAGCAGAACTCGAGTACCAGAGTGTCCATTGTCAGAACACTGACACCTCCTGAGTCTGAGAGAGGAGCGCTTTGTATATATTTTGAGACTCACTCCCCACCCTGTTTATCTCCAATGGTAACTACCTGCTACGTCATTTCTGAGAAGTCAGTCTGTAACTTACTGAACAATGTGCTGATGTCAACTTTAAACATGGTGGTTGTTGTTGTGTGCTTGAAATAAACACAAGCAGATCATTATTTTCTATGTTGTTAATTGTAAACCATATTGAGTTTGACTTTCTGTTCAGAACTGTTTCTCTGCTGCTGGCCCTGGGTGGGTGGTTTTTGGTTTTTTTTTTGTTGTTGTTGTTTTTGTTTGTTTTTTTTGCTTGTTTGTTTGTCTTTTTTAATGACTACTAATCAATTTTTATATGTATTGGTGTACAAGTCTGAGCCTTTGGTAAATGGTCAAAGCCAGGAAACAAACCCACAACACCAAGGGGGTAATAACCACATGCAGGGCCAGCCTCACCCATTAAGTAAACTGATCAGCTACTTAGGCTCCTAACATTGGGGAAAAATAAATAAATAAATAATTTGCATGCAGCTCATAGACACTATAATACATGTTTTACCTTATTGTTTCTATTTGATGTGTTCCATGTGGGATGTGAATTATCGGAGTTAAACCTTAAGTGGTTAAATGTTGAGGGCCACCGGTACAAATTTTGCTTAGGGCCCCCTGAACACTCTCAATTAATTATAATATGCCCAGAGCAGGACCTCGGGAAGACAAGCAAACACTTGGTGGAAGCTAATGGGGATCCAAAAAAAAAAAGAATAAAGGAACTTATACCTATTTTTGATGCATTGAGGCATTCAGTAGCACATTATTGTCACGGGGTCTGTTTTGTGGTCTTCACAGCTGTGAGTTTGGTTTGAGGATTACAGGGTCATGCATTTACATTGTATATGGTGTTAATGAAGACTCAATCCAGACCCAGCTTGTCACAGAAATATGATTGTAGATGTCATCATTCAGACAGTGGGCTAAGGTATTATAAAATAACATTATTATAACAGTGAATGAAAGCTTGAAAATCCAGTGTGTACAGAGGGTGACTATATGTGAAATAATGACAAAATAATAGGCACATTTAAATGCATAAAACCTAAGTATGAAAGAAGTGCAGTTGTTTTTTCAAGGTTTAATACATTTATTTCACATTACCATAAGGATGTTAAAGTACCCTGCTATCCCTGGAGTCGGGCTCTAAAATCTGCAGTGTTACAATATGTTTTATAGACTTTCTAAACCATGGGTAGCTGAATGCATAGATGATAGGGTTTATACAGGAGTTGAAGTAAATGAGCCACACCTCTACATCTCCAGAAGAGGGGTCTACTTGATTGTTTTCAGCCGAGAGAGCAAAAGCATAATAAGGACTACAACAGATGATAAAAACTATGACAAGCACTCCTAATGCTTTAGCTGCTTTTAGCTCCAATTTCTTTGCCATTGTCCCTGAAGGATTCAGAGCTACAGAGCTGATTTGAGATCGCATGGCACGGGCCTGAGAGACCGCAACAATAAACACTCTCAAATACAGCACTGTGATGATTGTTAAAGGAACCACTAAAGAAATGAATATGTCGGCAATTCCTTCTTCTGGATGTACTAATACAAGCACACACTCACCAACACATGAATTAAAGGAGCCCGGCTGTTTGACAAAATCTCTCATTATCCAACTAACATGAACAATAACAGAAATCCAGCACAGACAAATGCAGACTTGAACACGTCTGGTAGTGACTTTAGAGTGGTACAGTAAGGGATCACAAATGGCTATGTACCTATCGGCCGATATAAGAATCATATTTCCACACGAGACACCAACCGACAAGTATCCACTGAAGAAATAGACAATGCACAGGATGTCACCAAGCAGCCAGCAGCCCTCATAATAGAAGATCTGGAAGGGCATCTGGAGTGATCCAACAAGAAAGTCTGCCACGGCTAGAGAGAGGAGGAGGAAATTGGTGCAAGTGTGGAGCTGCCTGGAAAATAAAAGAAATAACTGACAATTAATGGTTCAAAGTAGAAGTGGGAAATATATTGAGTTAAGTTAAACAGATGTTTCAGTAACATTCATTAACATAAAAACTGTAAGCAAGCATCATAATTTTACAGTCAGACAGCTTTAGCTTTAGGTTTGTATGATGAAAAATATTATCTGATAAAAAAAAAAAAAAAAAGCAAAACAATAATGATAAAATGCACAGTTATTTGTGCCTGAAGTGGGTGATGGAGATGATGACCAGCAGGTTGAGAATCACAGTCAGGACAGTGATGGTAGACAACAGAATATAGATGACAGTGGACTCCAGCTCCGGGTGTGGGGTCCTTCTGCAGGAGTTGTTGATGGTTGGAAAACACAGATCAGCCTCATTAGGTGTTTCCATGATCTGATATTCTGACACAAAGTTATCACATGGGTATAGCTTTATTTATAGTAGTAAGACGTAACTCTCCACCCACTCTCAAAGACAAAAAACTGTACGTCATATTCAGCAATCTCTGAAGTATGTACTACAACGTTTGGGAAAGAATGGACTACATCTACTAATCTAATAGCTGTTGGTTTAGACTGTGCCTAACCCAAGCCTATGATGCCACTTCATGATTGACCTGCTACATTTCTGGTTCAGAACATTATGTTATTGTGGCATTATGCAGTTTGAACCTTTGTTTTCTTCAGGTCAATTAGTACCACTAGAGCACACACTATAGCGCCTGAGTTTCACTTCCCTGACCTCTGACCTCACTTCTGCAGTAGCTGCATTACACTCCTCACTCTAGCCTAGTGCCAATGTTTGGTAGCTTCCACTCTGTTTTCCACCTTGCTGATATCTCTGTGCCTGCTCTGTTGTCAGGTACTATAAGCAGCTTACAGTTAGTATTTTACAGTTAGTATTTTCAGAGTAATATCTGGCGCTAGTAGAACATTGTTTATAGAAAAATTGCAGGTGGTTGAAGGGCCACTGGAAGTAATTTTTAACAGGTGGTACTGTGAAAAAGTTGTTTTTTAGGCCTATAAGACCTATTTAAAATACATTTAAATATAAACAATTAGATTTAATCATTTTTATTTTTTTTTACATATGCACTTTAAGATAGTCTTTGACAATTTAAGAACAAAAAAATCTCCCTTTCGCCACCAGGGGATGCTGCAGCACCCCTGTTTCCCACAGCCATGTGTGGTTGTGCTTGGCTGGGTCGCCCCTTGCTGCTTTGGGCACCCACACTATGTGTTTAGTGCCTGATAGATTAATTCACACTCTTACATGTTTAATGTAGGTTCATATTTTCAAGTAGTAATGTGGTGGTGTATACCAGGACCAAAGCAATGGTGTGTCCACTGTTGTTTTGACATCTATTGTTGCCTGAGAATATGTCTCCATTTCTGTCTCTGTTCGACAAACAACTGCCTTTGAAAATGGATCTGCATGAACATTTGAATGAACTGAGCATGTGTCCTCACTCTTTTTGAAAATGATTTGTTACCTATTTAAGCCACTAAGCAGAAATAAAATATTTATTTATACACACAAACCTTACCAAGGATAAAATAAATATATATTGGAACCTTAAGCTGTCTCACCAATTATGTGCGTCTTAAAAAACAGTTGTACTTGCAAATCCTGGGGTGGCATTGTTAGTTAGTTTTATAGTTAGTCCTTTTTTTGTTGTATGTTAACCATTTATGTTATCCCTCACAGTGCCACAATTGGCGTTGTCGACAGGACGGTTACAGCTTAAGTATTGGGGTTTCAGCAAAAATGTAGACTACTTGTCTTACAAATCTACAGCAATGTGAAATAGCTATTTTCCTTCTCATGAACATCTGACAAACTGGTGGTATCGGGGTGGGGTACCACTTTCATACTAGGCAATGTGGGTTAAGAACACAACAACAGTTTTTGCCACTGGTGCCCACTGTGGCACCAAGAATTCCTAGTGGTCTCCTATCCAAGTACCAGCTTAGCTTCTGAGATCTAGTGAGATCAGGCTTTGACAGCGAGGTTGGAGGTATCCTGAAAGCTCAGTATTCGGTGCCTTCATTGGGTGACTCATACCTCATAGGTTCAATTCCTGGGGTGGAGCTGTTTCTTATGTTAGTTTTATAGCTAGTTTTAGCAGCTCAGTTTTTTTTTTCTTGAACTTGACTGACAATAAACAAAGTAATGACACCAAAATGTATATTCAATGTTTTATTACAAATATTGTTATGCAGTTTATTAAAAAGTCGATTGTGTGTGTTTGTGTGCGTGTGTGCGTGTGTGTGGGGGGGTTCACAACTACACTATATATAATACATTAAATATTGTCAAAGTTTATTTGATGTCTAAAACAAAACTATCCTTTAAAAAAATGCATACTTAACATTATTTAATTCACTTAAAAATGATACTGTGAAATGCCTTACACCCTGCGATTGGGATGTTCGTTTGAGGATTACAAATGACACTGATAATAAATTCACTATTCACATTTATACAGATCAATAAAACCTCACATATTGTCTGCTACTTTCCAGTCTCTGGATCCAGGCTTTAATATCTGCATTGTCAGAATGAGTTTGATTGACTTTCTAAACCATGGATAGAAAAATGCATAGATAACAGGGTTGAGACATGAACTAAAATGAACCAACCAAATCTCCACGTCAACTGAGGAGGCGTCCACTGCAGTATCCTTACCCACCAGACTGGGAACATAGTAGGGACAGAAACAACACAAAAAAACAACCACAACTATACCTAAAGTTCTGGCCGCTTTAAGTTCCTTCATCTTTGCTGTCACATTTCCCAACTGTGGCATGGTTACAGATGAAATGTGGGAACGCAGTGCACGGGCTTGCGACACAGCCACCACAAAAACCCTCAAATATAAGATGATGATGATGAGGATAGGAATGATAAAAGTGCATACAAGATCAATTGCACCAGATATGTTATTAATAATAACCACACATTCACCAGCACAAGAGTTGGACATACCAGGATGTTCTAACGGATCATGCATTACCACTATTCTGTAAAGGATAGATAGAGACCAACACAGTAAAACACACAACTTTGTCTTTTCCGTGGTCACTTCGGTGTAGTAGTTTAAAGGGTAACATATGGCGATGTATCGATCAAAAGATATAAGCACCATGTTGGCTACTGATACAGATTTGATGATATATTCAATAAGGTAGTAGGTGCTGCAAACCATGTCGCCAAGATTCCAGCAACTTTCAATGTAAATGATTTCAACAGGCATCAAGATCAGGCCCACTAAGAGGTCGGAGACAGCCAGGGAGAGGAGGAGGAGGTTAGTGCGAGTGTGGAGCTGCCTGCAGAGAAAGCACAAAGTTAACTTACCAGGCCCATTGAAAACATGCATGCAAAAAGTCAGTAATTTTAACTTTAAATAAAAATGGCCAAATGGTTTAGAATATTGAGATTTGAGAAGTTTCAGATTTTTGTTCCTGAGGAAAAATAATCTCACGGAGAGATTTATGTATGTATTTATTGCTCATGCCATTTCAGTTTGTTAGCACCATTTTTAGGAAATAAATGAATAATGTAAATACAGGTTCAACAAATCTGTGCATGCATTGTTAATACTGGCATGAACAAAAGTACATGAAGAAGATACGTCTATGCCATATGCATATTCCTTCACAAATCAGCTACGAAATAAACATAAATGAAAGGAAAAAATGCTAGTAGTGCCCTAAATTTGAAATAAAATGCTACTAAAAGCAGAGCCGATGTAAAATATTCATTGAAACTATTTGATATTAGAAAACAACTTTAAAAGCAGTTACAAAGAAGAAATGGTTTGTCACATCATTATTTTTTAAGCATATCAGCCACCAGCCTGGACACACATTAAGTAATAAATGAACAAAAAGTGTAAAGATACTCATAGTGGTGAAGAGAAAAGCTACACTATTTGTGTTTTATAGACTCATAAGGAGCATGTCTGCAAAAATAAAATCAGAAGCACATAACAACTATTCAATAAACCCACCCACAGGAACAATTTACAGACCATAAGAAGTCACAGCACAGTTTCCACCCAAATCAATGCCCTATTTGGGACAATTACATTAAAAGTAGTCTGGGATTAACCTGAAATGAGCGATGGAGATGATGACAAGCAGGTTGAGAGCCACAGTGATGACAGAGATACACGACAGTAGCACATATTTGATCATGGCCTGCACATACGGGTGAGTGGGCTTCCTGCACGAGTAGTTCAGGTGAGGGTAGCAGAAGACCTCTTCTTTTTGGTCCAGGGCGCCCAACATGGTGAGATACAGAGGAGAGGCGGAGGAGAGTCCGATGCTCTAGAGGAGAGTGTCCACTAAACACTGGCTTATATACATATTCCTCTGACATCAGCTAGCATGTGTGTTGGCTAAATGAGTTCTTTGAAAACAACTGAGCTCCATGGAGAATTATTGTGAATACCACCAAATCTCTAAATTGGTCCACAATATTTGGCTCAGCTGCAAAGGCTTACAAAGTATTTACAACAGTACTAGAACAGATAGCCAGTACCCACATCATCAGGTCAATGTAGTGTCCCTATTTTGACTTATGAAACCGTGAGAAGCTCACGCTTCATTGTTGCCACAGCATGAGAACTTCACCGTTTCTCGGATTTTTTTTTTTTTTTTGAGCAATTTTTTACAGCGTATGCACGCGTATTGTGTATTACAGGCGGGTAGTAATTACACACAGGTGGGTCAGGACTAAACCAGGTCTAAACCAGGACTAATCTTGGACTTAAGAGAGAAAACGCCGAGCAGTTTGTCTGCAAAGCGCGATCGGGCAATAGACTATTATCACGCTGATACATAGTACTTCCGCATTCAGTGATCTTTGTGCACGCCTACTTCCGGTGAACTGTCACTCTGGATCCATGGATTGAACTCATGATGGATGAACCGAAGTTGTTTACATAGACTACATCCCTTATAAATTTACTGAAAATATCCTTTTCCGACATACATCGTCTCATTGATCAACATTGAATCACAGCCCGCTCCAAAGTGGACAACGGACACAGTTTATTTTTTGAAAATTTCACCTACTATGAAGGTGAGTGGCTACTAGCTAACATAACTTTACAGTTGCCGATCCGACATACCATCACTCCGACACTGACGTGTTATTGTCAGAGTAGCGGCATTTCCATTTTTTATCAAACGTCCCTGCACTCCGACATTTATCCTTTGTTCGGAGTGGCAGAATCCTATTGTTGAAGGCGCACCACTGTGCGTAAAGATCCTGGTACTGCGAGTGCAGCCGAGCTACAAGGGACAGATGCGTAAGAATTTGGAACTTTATGAATGAAGAGGTTACGGGGCGTTACCTGACACTGCAGGTGGAAGCGCGCGGTGACGAGCATTCGGCTCAAGGCTCAATGATACGGCCAAGCAGAGAAACTACGAAAAACTGAATTGTGTGACAGTTTGGACATTTTTGTGAATGGACAGGAGCAGGAGACATTCATTACCTGTTGGCAAAGACTAGGGCGCACGAGAATGCGCTGTAAAGCTCAGTGTGTTGCGACAGTGAACTGGTGCCGGGCTCGCAGTCAGATAGAGACACTAAAAAGATCAATGATTTAGGAATCTGGATATTTTCATGAATAAGGGCTAAAATATTAGAATTATACCTGGTCATAGAGGACAGAGCGGCTTACACAGGGTCCCAGAAATGTGTCGGTCCCTTATAAACTCATAAAAGTTTATAAACTCATAGAAGTTTATAAAGAGGCGGCTGCGGCGCTCATTCTCCTAGTGCGCGCACTTAAAGTTGCGGACTTTTACGCACTCGTTAACCTGGCACCTCCACGCGCTCTCACCTGCAGGAGGTCAGGCGTATGTGGCCCCCCTCTCGTGCCAACAGAGCAGTGTGCGTAAAGCTCTGCGCACTCTAATGGCACAGAGCTTTACGCCAAATACCCTCCAATACGGGATAGCGGTTCTGTCTCTTGTTCTCTCTCTCATTCAAGATTAGTCCTGGTTTACTCCTGGTTCATTGGTGTCGGAATGGGGGCATGTCGGGGTGGAGGGTTGTTGAAATGACGGTATGACAGAGTGCGGGTCTGTTGGAGTGACTGTATGTCGGGACAGGGGTTGCCTATGCTTTAGAACAGGAGGGGTAGCTTATGCTAACGTCAGTTTGGTGTATGGATACAACATACCCAACAAAAGCAAGAGTATTCATTTTTAAATGAGGCTAAGTAAATTCCCCCATGTCATTTGTATTCTGAGAGGAAGAACGTTCGCCTCTCAGTTTCAGTCAGCTAACGTCGGCATATGAGTGTCTCTTTTGCTAGCGCGTAAAGGAGAAAAAAAGTCCGCTTTAACCAGGCTTTCTCGGTGCTTTGTTTTCTCAAAGCACCGTGATGTTTCGGACTTCAATGGACTTTACGATGCTATGAGAAAATAAAAAGACAGAACGAGAACACCTGTTTGAAACTGACTTTTTTTTTTCCTTTTTGTGTCTGATACATTTGTCCTGCTCCTGCTGTGGAGCTTTAACTGGTCCCAGTAACTTCTTTTGCCAATTATAAAGCTTTAACAAAGTATTTACAAAGAATATGCATTGATCCTGCTGATTATTTCATAATTTAAAAGAGCAGTGACCTCTAGACATCGTTTGAGCCATTGCTGTTGTTGCGCTGGAAGTGGAAGTTCACAAAGTAGATAAACCCCACCCACAAAACCCGGAAGCGTGATAATAGTCTATTGCCACGTTTAACTCCGTGAGGTGCGGAGCTGAGCCGGTCCATTCTCCTGCGTCACCTCAAAGCCCGTTCTGACGGTGAGTCCTGTTTCAGTTCTGGTTTAGTCCCGTTTTAGTCCTACTTCAGTCATGGATTAGTCCTCCTCTTCAGTCCTGGAATCAGTCCTGGGTTAGTCCTGGTTTAGTCTTGGTTCAGTCTGTGGCATAGGCAGCGCAAAAGTTTGATATTATCTGGGGTTAAGGGGCAGGTGCGGTCCTGTACTGCGCGGGTGCTGTGTTGTACTGCAGGTCTCCAAAAATGGACCCCTGCGGGACTCTGCACTGTCGGCTCCATTATGGAATAAATGAATCTTCAGTCTGTTACATCAAGAAGGAGGAAAATAACACAAGGACGACAGCAGCAATAAGTTTTAAGAAGGAAGTAAAAAGGGTTGTAGCTCTCCTTTCTGAGAAAAGTGTATAAAGTTTGTGCTGAGGGGTTTTACAGCCTTAAAACAGATAGAATAATTGTAAAATATAAAGTTGACTACTTCGCGGATTTCACCTATCGCTGGTTATTTTTAGAACGTAACGCAAAATACGGACATGTCCGGGGAAAAACGAACGTTTGGTCTCCCTAGTGTAAACTAGCCTGATTTATCAGCCAGTTTCACTTTGTAGAAACCGTCTGACCTTGCAGTGTTAGAATTCATTCTCTCGACGGTACTTTTTATCATCTCTGCTATTTGGCAGTCATGCATGTAATACAACTGGTATATTAAGCTTTTTCCCAAATCCTGTAGGAAGAAGGGCAATAACAGCTTTCCCTTTGATGAAATTCACTGAACATTCTCTTTATTCTGGCTTTAAATCCTTGATCTGGGGAATCATTGACAACACTGAATATATGGCTCTTTGCTGATTGGCTGGTGCCCGAACTTGCACTTGCACGGTTTTTGCAAACCGTCTACTGTATTTTGATTCCTGACCTAGTTGCTGGAGAGAAATGCAATTGAGCGGAGGCAGTAGGTGGCACCAGCCTGGCTAGGAGTAAACTGCTCATGCTGTGAATTGTCAATGTTGTTTGAATATTGATCTGTAAATGTCATGTGAATATCTTTTATTTGTGTACATCTGTTAATGGTTTATAATCCACATGTGAGAGGAAACTCAGACCTCTATTCATCCCCCACTCCACTTTAGCCAAGACCTCACCTCACTTCAGGCATAAATAACATCTCCACTCTCCTGGTCGTATTTGCATGTATCAGAGAATGGCTTAATTGATCAATTGATTGATGAATCAATTAACAAATCACAGAGTTTTCAGGTTTAACTTAGCAATATTGTAATCATAAACCATAAAGCAAATTGTACATTAACATAATAAAAATTACCCAAATAAGATGTTACTTTATTAATTCAAAAACTCAATAAATCAGAAAATAAATATACAAATGATCAATAATGGTTTTGTATCTGGTCACATGATGTTAAAAAGTGTGCCACCAAGCTCTATTTACAGTGCGACCAGGGTTTGGCCCGTGGACCCGAGAGCGGCATGAAGACGGCCTCAAGTAAGGCAGTGGGCGTGTAGGCGGAGAGCAGCTTACTTGAGCTTGGCTCTGTGAGAACACAAGGAGTGTTCCACTTGTTCTACCAGTTGAAGTAGAGCCCTGCAATGAAGTGTGGCATGGGACACATTTTGAAAACTCATTGCGGGTGCGGGCGGGACTACACAACACAGGAGCGGGCAGGTAGGATGATAAACTGCAGTCCCACAAACTAAATATGAGAATATGAGAGTAAAGTAAAATATACAAATGATGAATGTAAGCATATCATGCATTATTTGTGCTGGATATTTTATTTGGCATTGATAAAAACCTTTTAAGCAGCAGACCGTCCCTCCTCCTGTATGCTGCACGATCCATCCCCCGTCCTGTACACTGCACGGACAGTCCCTCCTCCCGTACGCCACATGGGCTGCGCCACTAAACCAGAACTAAACCAGGTCTACAAACAGGTCTAAAACTAGGACTAAAACCGGACAGACTTAACCAAGCCGCCGAACCAGTCACCATGCTTCCTCCCATATGCAGCCCAATTCCTTTCCGCTTCTTTGTGTTTTATAGAGCTTAAGAAGGCGAACATTCCCATCCTGATTTGCAGTCAAGAGTGGGATAAAATATCGCAGATGCGGGCGGGAGCGGGAATGAAAATTACAATTCTTTGCGGGAGTGGAACAGAAAATTCTGTCCTGCGCAGACCTCTAAATTGAAGCTTGTTTTGGAGCCATTGAGAAATGCACTGGTTGGTGAATGATGGGCAACTCGTTGGTGTCAGGTGATTAAAAAGTAAGGGCGCCCCCCGCCGCAATCTGCCCCCAGTTTGCTATTGACGTCCCGGCAATACCACACTAGTCCCAGAGCCTAAAAATAGTAAAGGTTTGCATTCGCAATCACAGGTGCATTCACCAAAGCTGTTCTTAGGTCATTGAAGATCTGTTCACATTCATCTGTCCCAACTGGCTGCCAGGGGCTGGTGCTTTTGCCACCCTGAAACACACTGTACCTCTGCTATTAAGCAATGGAGTGAGGCTGCCATTTTTAGGAATCCACTGACGAACAGTAGGTAGTAGCTGGCAAAGCCTAGAAAAGTTCTTAGCTCTGTGACAGTGTTAGACTGGGGCCAGCTAGCTACAGCGGCCACTTTGTCCAAGTCTGTGGACACTCCCTCTCCAGAGACCACATGACCAAAGTATTTTATTCTTTTCTGAATAATTCACATTTTGATAGTTTTACCTTGAGGCCTTCTTTTTGCAGTTGACTCAGGACAGCACCCAGGCGCTGGAAGTGATCATCTATTGAGGAGGAATACATAACAACATCATTGGGACTTGGTTATAGCCGCTAGTGAGATCTATTGTCCAGAACCATTTTGCACCACACAGCACATTTAGGACTCATCGATTCAGGGCAAGGGGCTGCTACTCTCCTGGATCACCTGACCATCAAGAAGCTGTCTTATATAGGCCTTGACTGCGTCATACACTGAGGGGGGTATTCTCCTAAACTTCTGTCTGACAAGAGTATAGTCGGTGATGGGAATCTCATGGTTCATGAGGTCTGTGCAAGCCAAATCACTCTGATTTAACAGAACTGGTTCTGGCTGCCTTATCTGTAAACTGGCCTAGGAGGAAACTGTTGCCCTCACTGGCTCACTAGGTGAGCCCACAACCTCAGTGATGCCCTCTGGTAAAGTGTCAACATGTCTACCGCTGTACAGGGGTGGAGCATAGCATCTGTTGTCTGCACTATCTTGACTGTCCCTGCTAGAATGCATACTGGTCTCTGACCTCTTATCCTCACTATGCCGGGCGTTTCAGGAGGAGGTTTCGCGGGCACAAAACAATGTAGGATCGCCACTGCTGATGCCCTAAAACAGGGGTGTCAATCTCAAATTCACAGAGGGCCAAAATTAAAAACTGGGACTAAGTTGTGGGTCAAACTAAATATTTACTGAAAAATGTCAGTACTGTACATGTAACTGTGAGTACATCTGTAGCCACAGTTTCTAGTTTCATTATTAGTGAAGTCCTCACTCATCAGCACATGTGAAGGACAGCATATCCCAATAATGAGACTAAGTGGACATGATTCTCAAATTATACCA